TACCGTACAGCACTGACTAAAGTATCCACCCTATGTGTAATACCCCTTACCATTTATAGAAAGGATCCATCTAAAATACCCGGATATAGCTGTTTATTTAATTCTGTACTTGGTTAATAATACGTACATTGTTATCAGTTATGTTATTCGTTTGCTACATATTGTAAAAAATTTACTTCACTTATACGTAAAGCTTTCACGAATGGCATTTTGAAAATTTTGCCAGTATTTTAAAGAAAAATAGAACTAACTATAAGATAAAAAAAAAAAACTATTGTAAATTTATGAAACTAATAACCAATCATTTTCAACTATAGTTTCTTCACTATAGATATTATCAATATCTTCCGTTTCAACCCAAACAGCTTCTTCGTTAGTAAGATCTATTAATTCAATATTATTTGCCAATTCAATATAATCATTTTCTATTTCATATTGCTGACCCATATTAACATCTTGATCACTAGAAATTCCACAACAGCTAAACGAGTTTTTAATTAAATCAATATCAACACCATCCCACGCATTTCTTACCCACGTTGCCATCAAAGAGTAAGATGGTCGTTTAATTCTTCCAGAAGGTGTAAGTTCATGTACTTCATTAGCCATCCATTCAAGATATAGATTACGAAGTTTTGCTTTAAACGAATGGTTTATCATAACATCTAATGGTTGAAGTTTACTTGTTAAACCACCAGGTATCACTGCGATATCAGTCATATTTTCACTAAAATTTTTTTTAACCAGCTCAGTAATATGACCTCTGAAAGAATCTAATACTAAGAGTGAACGTTCACGTCTATACATATTTTGAGCAAGCCATACGTTGTTTGTCCACCAAACCATTTCTTGTTCATTGCACCATCCTTTTTCATTTACACGAATATGGATACCTTGAGGAAATTGTTGATGGGGCATATTTTTTAATTTAAATATACAAGTTGCTGGTAATTTTGTACCATCTGCTAAGCAACCTAAGATCACGGTAAAATTTGATTTTTCATGCCCAGTAGTTCTTATACTAATAGTTTTAGCACCACGTTCATCTAGAGTAACGGCATTGGGCAAATCAAAAGTAACAGGCGTTTCGTCCATATTACCGATCAATCTTAATGGGTAATTATTTTCATATTGTTTAAGTGCAATGTAACTCAAGAACTGTTGTTGTTTTTCGATTAGATCCTTGGGAAGATGTTGAGCAATATTAGTTCTATGCCTGTTTGAAAGATCATAACGAGACATAAACGCATCGAGCCATTTACGAGAAAAACCAAACTGGTTTATATCGGGATACAAAATTTGGAACCTAGGTTGTTGAGCAAAACTTTTTGCCTTTTGAGTAACCATCATACGGGTTACTGCATTACGTTGGTCTCGAGTTTCTTTTATCCAAGCTGCCAAATCTTCTTCAAGCTCAGGGAAAGTGGCTTTTTTTCCAGGATGCAATTTCTCAATATGTGAAGCAGCCATAATTAGTTGATCTTTAATTTTTCTCCACTCACGAACTTGTTTAGGCTGAATATTAAACTTTCTTGCTGTACCACGTACACTTTTAGATTGCTCAAGGTAATGAATGACCATAAGTTTTTCTTTTGCAGACCATTGACGACGTATATGATGTATAAAACGTGAACGTCGTGCTGATTGATTTGCACGAACCATTTTTTATTTATAAAGATGAATTATTAAAGAAGCAACCTTTTTAAATATTTTTATGAATACTTATTATAATTAAAGTACTTGCGAATATTAAAATTTATTTGTATCTTTATTCAATTATTAATTGTTATTAAAAATCTCTTTTATTAAAATATTTGTTACTGTGCACACTGTTACAATTATGAAATAATAAAACAAAAGAACGTTAATCAATCATCATTCGATGGTTTAACACAAATGTAAATTATTTCATGATCTAAAATATTTGTCTTTAGCCTAATCCATGCTTTGTACACTGTTATCGAGAACAAAATAAAACATTTATTATAATAATTAGGTGATTTAAAAAAAAAGACAAAAATAAAAAAAAAAACACGAATATTTATTTTGATGATTCGAAATATTTGCTTTAGCCTAAATTGTTGCTTTGCACACTGTT